GTTTGGTTTTATGACGTAACTAACGTGCTTTTAACATTTCAAATCGCGGCACATTTGTCAATTAAGCGATCATGCGCAGTAAGAGGAGCCGCCAGTGGCATTTAGTGTCTCGTGTTAGTAGCGGTGATTGTAATGCTAGAAATCACCTTTAGCATGATGTTGCACGACACAACTTTGTCCTTGAATAGGCTCAAATATTTCTCTGAAATGAGCGATAAATCTGCACCGGTGTCGATCAATGCGCAAAAATTGTGTCCATCAATGGCAACTCCAATAGTACCAGTAGGTTTACCCGTATAACAAAAATTAATACTAGGTCTCTTGTCAATTGCAGCTTTCGTAAAACAGTTGGAAGCATTGTGCCCACGCTTTGCACAAAATGAACAAGAATCATTTGAACTTTGTGATGTGCTAGGCAAATTATCCCTTTTATCTGTACTGTTTGCTTTAAAGGGTAGTATCTTTTTCTTTGCATAACAGTTAGCCTGAACATGTCCTAATTTTCCACACTGATAACATTTTTTTGAGAATTTCCTACGCGCGAATCACTTTGCGAATATTTTCGTTTGTTTCCAGTACTCGTACTTTGCTTGCTGTCTTCAACGTCACGTAGGTATTTTTTTTAAATGACGACAGAAATACCAAAAGTTCAGACCCAGATTTAAAATTACAGTTCATGGCAGTATTACGAATTTCAAGTTCCGATATACCATAAATTATTAGTTCAACCAAGTCATTTTCTTTCCAATTAGCACGTGTAGTTTTTAATTTAGCCAACTTTTCATGTACATACGTTTCATAGGTGTTAGCACGTAAGCTATCGAAATCTGCTGCCTCCTTAAATAATCGCCCAAGGTTTCTTTTCGGAGGAAACGCTTCTACAAACTCTTGACAGAACGTTGCCCAATCCCTAATATCTGGGTTCCAACGGTCGTACCATGTTTTTGCGTCTTTCAACAAAAAACGTCCCACACGAGCTAAAGTTGTTACATCAGACCATCCTACTCATTTTTAATACTTTCTACATGGCTCACCCATTTAGTTGATTCGGTAACCTCAGAACGAAAAGGCGGCAAATCTACCTGTTCGCCAGACCGTTGTGACTGTAAGGCCTTAACCAAGTCTGCAAGGAGCGTTTGAACAGGATTGTGCTGGCTACTATCACCTGGTTGCGCTTCTTGGTCAACCAAAGTTTCACTACTGTCCATTGTGGAACACAGTCCGTGACACAATTACAAAAACTTTAAAGTTTAAACCAAGTTACCACACATAGAGTCCACAAAATCTAAAGCACTTTACAATTTAAACCGCGTAGCACTTCACTTGCACAGTCTACTGTTGGCGGTTGAGAACGATCCCACTTCTGATGTAAGAAATAACACAATTAAACAATAAAGTTTATCAACGACACTGGAATTATCAACAACAATTAACAATTAAAGCGGCGTAGTATCCCGAGCACGGGTTATGATAAGACTGCTCGTCTTTTGCTGACGAATTCTTTATATACGCATAATTACATAACACCGTGACCGGCAGCGGCTTACAAAACAAACTTTTAACCGTATTACTCATACTTCTTAAAAATATTCTCTAACAATATATATATATATATATATTAGGGTGTTTCAAAAAAATTTTTTTTCTTGCTGACACATGAAAATTTTGTTTTTTAGGTTGAAAAAAAAATTCTCTGAAAATTTGAGCCCATAATTTTGATTCTAAGTACTTCCTTTTTAATTATGGAGTTTTTCCATATAAAAAGCATGTATTTTTAATCATTTTTACTTTAAATTTCTATATGTTGGCCGGGTTTTGAATTATAATTTTTATCACCATAATTTTCTGCATAGTATTCACGGTTTTTGAAAGGCCCTGCATCAATTTTGTTTTTGATTTATTTACGTTGATTGTAGTAGCTCCAAAACTCGTTTTTTCACTTTATTTCACATATTTTTGAGAAAATCGAGCGAATGACTGGTTTTACCGAAAAAGTTCAAATAAAAAAGTTGTAGAAAATTTAATTTTTGACAAAAAAGGTTTTTACGTTTATATCACTAAAGTGCTTTGTTTAAGAGATATAAGCAATATATAGTTGTTGAATCAAATTACATACATGTATACATAAATTTCAATAAAACCTATTTTTTCTTTGTTTTTGGTTATTGAATTGCTTATATCTCTTAAACAAAGCACTTTGGTGATATGAACGTAAGAACCTTTTTTGTCAAAAATTAAATTTCCTACAACTTTTTTATTTGAACTTTTTCGGTAAAACCAGTCATTCGCTCGATTTTCTCAAAAATATGTGAGAAAAAGTGAAAAAAACGACTTTTGGAGCTACTACAATCAACGTAAATAAATAAAAAACAAAATTGATGCAGTGCCTTTCAAAAACCGTAAATACTATTCAGGAAATTATGGTGATAAAAATTATAATTCAAAACCCGGCCAAAATATAGAAATTTAAAGTAAAAATGATTAAAAATACATGCTTTTTATATGGAAAAACTACAAAATTAAAAAGGAAGTACTTAAAATAAAAGTTAAGGGCTCAAATTTTCAGGGAAATTTTCATGTGTCAGCAAGAAAAAAAAAATTTTCGTTTTAAATGATATATATATATATATATATATACATCAGAAACAATAGGTTTTCTACTTTACGCCAGTAGTAGGCAACCAATATTGCAAAGACTGAAATGCCTTCACATCTCGCCACCGAGCCGAGCTCGAAGCGCGTCTCCCAAATGGTATGGTCCAATGACTAATGCACCATACCCAGCAACACTGACATACAGACTGTTTCGACCTGTTCGGTCTCATCAGTGTCAGGCAGTCGGTGACGGAAGAGTCCATTCTATATATAACCTATACTCTGTGTAGCCCGAAATGGCTTTGTGTGGCCCACTCCCGGGCTGAACAACGTTTGACGTTATTTCAACGCTAATCGATAAATCACAGTATTGGGAAGCCCAGGTTAAAATTTTAGAAGGGCTTAACAACGACTTGTTTAGCCTAAGTTATATACAAAATAGTTCATTGCAAGAAGATATTATTTAATATCAAGCAGTACAGTTTAAACGATATCAGTTCGATACCGCGACTTAGTCAGAGATTTATTCGAATACTTTTAATTGTTTTTATTATTTAATGTATTATAGAATGTGCACAATGAGTTTTATTTGTTATTAAAAATTCTTTTTAAAAAAATAAAAGGCAAAAACATTAATTATACACATTACACATTTTTAGATAACACAATTTTATTGGTTGTAATGAGCGGTTTAAATTTAATCACTCAATCAGACTTTATAACTTTTTTAGTTGAATGTTTGAAAAATAGAAATATTAAAATATTTGACTAAAATTGGGCATATGTTTAATTAGAAATAATCCAGAAGGTACAGGGTGATCCCCTATAATGTTGCTCCCTTTAACTTTTTTATTTTAAGTGTCCGAAAAAATTTCAAAGTGTGGTTATGTAGGTACTAAAAAATACTTTTTTTCTACGTATAAAGAAAATTGGAAAATTGATAAGTATACAGGGAAAAACAAAAAGTTTATTTTTTTTTCAATGGATCACCCTATATATGTATTTATTTTTCAATTCCTTGTACAATTCTAAGCATATTTCATATAACATACCATATACCTAAATTCAACCGTTTCTGAAATATTTAAATTATTTTTAAGATAATAAGTTAAAATAGTTTGTCTTTCTCTGTCTGAGTAGGTCATTTTTACTTATTTAACAAGACATATTGACATAATGTCACTATAATAATTTATTTTCAATAAAAATTTTGGTATACTGAGGCTTCTTGATTTCTAACAGTTTAAAAAAACATTTAATGCTAACATTTCGAATGCGAATATTTCAGAAACAGTTGAATTTAGGATATGGTTTGTTATATGAATTATGCTCAGAATTTTACAAGGAATCTAAAAATAAATTTATATATAGGGTGATCCATTGAAAAAAATAAACTTTTTGTTTTTCCCTGTATATTGATCAATTTTTAATTTTTTTTAATACGTAGGAAAAAAGTATTTTTAGTACCTACATAACCACACTTTTAAATTTTTTGGGACACTTAAAATAAAAAAGTTAAAGGGGGGCGACATTATAGGGTGTTGTAATAAGCGGATCGATTTCAACACAAAGACTTTATATGTTTTTTAGGAATTTTAAAAAATAGCTTAACATTACGATTTGTCTAAGATCTGGTATTTTTAATTTGAAATATCTTCCTGGAAACATTATTTTATCGTGTTTCAATAATATTTAATATATTAGGCCTTTTGGAAGCATATTAATTAATAAAATAAAAATTAATAAAATAAAATAGCTAAAATATTGCGATTCGTCCTAAATCGAGTATATTTTTAATCAGAAACATCTCAGAAGGGATATACTAAAAATTCCAAATTTTCAGAAAACATTATTTTATTTTATTGTAATAAGTAGTTAAAACACCTCATACGTTTTTTAACATTTCTTAAAATAGTTAGTTTTTGAGATATAGTCATTTTTATGAATTTTGTAGAGGCCCCATTTTAGGGGTTTAGTCCGCCACTGACATGGTCTATATTTTTAGTATACCAAAATATTTCATATTTTATACTCTTAATAATTTTAGAATTTAAGTTAAATGCATCTAGACTTTTTTTATTTTTTAATTCATTAATTATAGAGCTAACTTCACTGAATTCGCTATGATATTTTGTTTTAAAAACTGAGAAAAATGCGTGTTACTTGTTGGTATTTTATTGACTATTCCTTACGAAGAATTTATAAAATATTTTTTTAATTCTTCAGAGCTAATTTTTTCTGAGGCAAAGTTAATTTTATTATTTGGTTTAATTAGACTCCACATAGTTTTTGATATGTTTTTTTAATTAGAAATAACATTATCATAGTAACCAGTTTTAGCTTGTGTAACATAATATACTATTAAAATTACATTAATTTTATACCAATTTATTTTTTTCTTTCAGGTTTATCTGGAAGTAAAGCTAGTGCCAAATTTGGTTTACGCCTCCAAATTACTACTTAAAAACAATATTGAAGACAATTCTTGCACTAATACTCCGTCACCCTCTTATTCGCCTCTACCCTCTGCTTTGGAGAACTACAAACAGTTTTTAGATCTGTCTGAAGACGATCTGGAAGCCTTGGAGTATATTTTTTTGTTAATATCGCATTTGATATATAAAAATGACGAATTTATTATGCAATTTTGCGACTCGGTCGTAGTTTTAAATGTATATGTTATGCTAAAATTACTTTTACTTATTGGTAAGTTTACAATTTAGTTGGTAGGATTATATATTATTTAGGACTTATTGAGCCACACAAGTTGACTTTAAGTTTTTAACAAGTGGTAAAATATGTTTTAACCTATTTTATCACATGGGCTTTTTAAACACCCTTTAAGTATAATCATTTTCCTATGAAAAAAACATCACACATTTTTTAATGTAATTTATTGAAAATAAATAAATAAAAATTTGTATACTGAACAAAACAGATACCAACTTGGATCCCAAAACCACCTAATTAATCTAATTAAACCCTTTTTACGTCTTTTACAATGTCGCCATTTTAGTCGCTTACCAAAATTTAGTTATTTAAATAAATAATCACAAATTATTTTTATAATTTAAATAGTACTTTTTACAAGCATTCGGATTTATATATTATATTTTTATATATATATTTTTACCAATTCTCTAAGAAATAAGGTTATTTTTTGTTTTTAGAATTGTGTTGCCCTATATTACCCAGATATAAATATGTATGTTTTCCTAAATTTTTTATATTTTTTGTGTATTTTAGCAAAGAAAAATATTAGAATTGTGTTGAATACAATAGCAGTTTTAATACAGATGTTAAGAAAATCCCCAGAAAATCAAGATATAATAGAAAAAATCTTGCTGAATGAATCAAATCATCAAGATCTTAAACCAATTTGTTTCGTAGAATTGTTAAGGCACAATGATTATTTGTTAAGGGAAAGAACATGCTTTCTTTTGTTATTTATGTGTAGAAATTTACAAGAGAATACCATAAGGCTATTTTGGAATGAAAAAGTAAGAGAAACATTAGAAGCTTTAATGTTTGACTCCATAGATACAGTTAGAAATGTAAGTATTTATAACATTAGACGTTTATTGTTTTATTTACTTTATTTAAATTTTAGGCAGCGGAAGTAACGGTTGAAGATCTAAAGCAAAGAAGTTACTACAATACAATTATTGAATAATTACTTACAACCAGTTTTGTCTTGGTCCACAAGAAAATTAATGTTTTTATATAAAAAATTAGCATTGACATTTTCTGGTAAAAAAAAACAATTTGATTGACTATCCAATCGATTCAATGTGGACTATGCTCTAGCCAAAAAAATACATTTGACATTCGGATAAGGAACGCAGAAAGCGTTACGCAGCCCCATAATTGAGGTTATGTGGTAATGTTAGTTTAAGGCCAATAATGTATAATTTTCTTAAAAATAATGTGACATAATATTATGTAATTTTATAACACAAAAAGTACCTACATGTTATATTATTTTTTTAAGAGTACAATTATTATTATATAAGTCTACAATTATTATTATAAGTCTATGAAGAAAGTCTACAAATTAATACTAGTTCAAAAGTAAAATTATTATTAAACTCCTTTAAAAATAAAGCTAAAATGTCATCATGTCAGTTGAACCTAACCTAATAATGATGTGACAGAATATTAAAAAAATTGAATAAATGCTTTAAAAAAAGTTGTAAAGGGTTTTCCATTTAAAGCGTCATAACTTTAACCCTAAAAATAAGGCTGCTCTGGAATGTAAATATCAAATCTTGACAACACATGTGTTCAGTACATTGTGTCAAATTAATATGGAAGGATAACAATTCAACAGCGCTTAGAAATAATTCGTATTTACCATCAAAATACATGTTCGGTTCGCCAAACATTTTGAGAGTTGCGAGAAATATAAGGTTTATCGTTTAGTTAATAAGTTAAAAAAAACTGGTGTACTGGCAAATAAGTCAACTTTTATGCATCTAAAGGGTCATGTGAAATCTCAGGTTTACAAAAATAAGCCACGAACAATTCTCGACCTTAAACGAAACATTAAACGCACAATTCAAAATATACCACGCGATATTTCTAAAAGAATAGTAGAAAATTGGGCCTTCAGAATGCATTCAGTCAGGCAAAGTCGAGGGGGACATTTAAACGATATTATTTTTAAAACACAAAGTCATCGATTGTACTTCTAAATATAATAAAGATTAAAGGATTATAACATGTAGTTATTTTTTTATCTCATTTGAAAGTTCTGACGCTCTAAATGAAAAACCCTTTATATAAAACCCGGCGGCTAAAGCCTATTATTTTTATCGCACTTTCGCCTCGGCACTGAAATGTATGCTCGGCGATAATGTGCCTGGTCTACACCACGTCAAATGTATGACTGAATTTTTATTGATTTTTTAGAAAGTAACGATAATTATGGTAAAATCTGTACATAATACGCTAAAGAAGCATCGGGTTTTCGAAACGCGTGCGCCATCTGGTGGAGTTCGATAGCATTGTGTGAATTTAAGAATTGTCAACAATACATTTAAAGCATACGAACTGCACATAATTTTTAAATAAATTAGTACTTTTTTCACAAAAGAGGAGAACGCAGAAGTCCTACTCGACAATTGCAAAGCTAAATCGCGCACGTTATTTGTTTTTTGCGTTGGAAGTAAAAACTAAAAAACTGGTTTAGTTTTCGATTTCGATTAATTATTCTTTATATCATTGATTAAGAAACTCAACGCTTATATGCTTATATAGTTACGTTAGTTTGTGTACTTTATCTAATTGATCATGGGAAATTATTGTGTTTTTAATTGTAAATAAAATTCAAGAACTAAATAGTTGCATTTTTATGTTTTACCAAGGGATCCAATTCGGTAAGTATATTTGTTGGGGCATAATTAACTAATATATCCTGTAACTAAGTTATAGGTAAGTATATGACTTTACCTTACATAATTTTTAGACATTTTTAAGAAATTAGTAAAAATAATTGTTGCACAAGCATAACCTTAAAATCGAACATTTTTATATTTATGTCCTCTAAAAAACGCCGAAAACTTCATAACAACAAAATATACCTACGAATTCATGACAACATAATATATATGAGTACATTAGATGCACAACTCTGTATTTGCAGGATAAGTGATTTTAAGAAAAACATGAAAAACCGCTCCTAAGATCATTTTTGAAAAAAAAATGCAAGACGTGCTTTTGCATCATTTTTATTCAAAAAAGTAAAAAAAAAATCCTTTAAAATTAGGTAGTTTAGTAAATAATTGAAATCAAAAGGTTTAAAAACATAGTTTTGCATCTTCCTCGTCCAAATACCAAGTTTTGCAAATGAAAAGTGCAAATACCAAAAATTAACAATTAATCAGGTGATTGTTATATCGTGACGTAATGCGTATACTAGCGACGTGATTGGTCAACAGCAAATACCGAGTTTTGCATCCGACAGGAAGAAACAAATACCCAGTTTTGCATCTGCGTTACGTTTTTAAATGTATTTTATTCTACAAATATTAACTTATGCTTCTGGTTTACTTAGGTATGCTGTAGGCAGTGCAGTAATTTACATAAATAGGATAAAATATATATTTTTTAAAAATATGGAAAAACCGAGTTTTGCATCTAATGTACTCACTACCGTTGAGTGGAGACGTTTTTAATCAACGCTTTTAATAATTCTAAATGCTGTTTGAATTTAGACGACCTATTTGTTTGACGATTTTTACTGAATTATACTGTTTACACTTTTCACGTTAATCATTACTAAAATGTGTATTTATTGTATCCAATAGGTACAATTTTTATTTACAGGGACTGTATGCAATTTATTTCTTCATTCAGATTAACACTGTTTATTGGAAAACCGGTAAAAACTCAACCCAAGGGTTTTTTCGATATTTTTTAACATTTTTCGTCTTTATTCTAAAAAACAATCGTTTTTAACATACGCGTTTGACAGCTGATTATTAAAAGGTGTAGTTTTGTTACGATGATAACGGCCAAGTGGCGCTACTAGCGATGCTTCTTTAGCGTATAACTAAACAACACCGTTTTTAATTATTTTTAGTAACTAAGAAATTGATATTACCACATTTAAATTGATACGTAACGACTCGTTCACAATAATTAAATATTTTTTTTTTACAGTTAATGTTTTTTCTTTACGAGGATTTACGATAAAAAAAAGTTGTTTTTTAATAATAATTATTTAAACTATTTGAATTATTTATAACCTCTACCCGCCCATAAAATCAGTACCTAAATATCAAAATAAAAATACCCTTTGACTTTTTGTAATGTATTGATTAAGGTGGATCGGTAGATGGATTATTAAAATATTGAGGTTTATAAACACTTTCAGGCACAGGCCTCTAGAGATGGGACGGTATCTGCGGAACTGTTACTTTGTCGCGGTATTTTTTAATACCGTCGCGGTATTGCGTTCCACGCCGAAAGCACCGGTTACTTTGGAACTGCCAGAGGGTCTAGGAAGCAAGTCGCTGTTCCCACGAGACGCTAAATGCCACTGGCGGCTCCTCTTACTGCGCATGATCGCTTAATTGACAAATGTGCCGCGATTTAAAATGTTAAAGGCACGTTAGTTACGTTATAATTATAATCCGTAGATAGCTCAGATGGTAGGGCGGTCGCTTGGCATACGAGAGGTCCCGGGTTCGATACTAAGAAGCTGTCGAACTTTTTTATTTTTTTATTTCATAAATTTGTTGTTCCTTTGTTAAACAGTGTTCGGTTGGGTTGGGTTGGGTTGGTTGGTTTGTTTTAGTTTTATCGTAACATAAAATCTACTAGAAGTTGTCGAACTTTTTTTATTTCATAAATTTGTTGTTTCTTTGTTAAAAAGTGTTTTTATTTTATCGTAACATCAATTTGCCCTTTTTAGTTGGGTTTTTTGCTCAATGGGGCGGGGTCGGTTGGGTTGTGTTGTTGAGTTTGGGTTGGTTTGGTTTTATGACGTAACTAACGTGCCTTTAACATTTCGAATCGCGGCACATTTGTCAATTAAGCGATCATGCGCAGTAAGAGGAGCCGCCAGTGGCATTTAGCGTCTCGTCTGTTCCCTGCACTCGGTTACTTTTCTTTCGCGTCGCCTTTTAAGTTTGTAGTAAAGAATAGCGCGATTTTAACCGTGCGGGGAGACCGAATTAGTATTTGTCATGAGTTTGGTAAACTCTTTTTTGTGTTTTTTCAATACAGAACTACTAAAACTTTGAACATCGTTTTTATTTATAGCAACAAAGAACACGAAGTACTTAAGATGCCGGTAATAAAACTTCACAAGCGATAGGTGTAGGGTCAGGGCCGGCGGAAGACCATGGTAGTATAGGTACTACTACCCACTCGAAAAATTCCCGAGTGGGTATATACCCACTCGGAAAATTTTCAAAACTTCTGATTTTTAAACCTATTTATATACATATACTTGTATATCAACGAATTCAAATTTAAAGTGACGCTCATAAGTCAATGAATTTTCCGCAAGTGGTTTTCTATCCGCGTCAAATGCCAGTATTTGTGGTTGCCTAACTTCTCGGAATAAAAATGATCGAATTATGCGCAAAGAACAACACTGGTTATGCGTAGACGCTTGTCACTTGTCAAGTGCGCTGACGAATTTTCATAAGACAAGGTATTGACAATACCGTATTGTTGTGATAGAAAATAATAATGGACCGGTTTGTCATCCGACATAAAAGGCAAAACGAAAAAAGTGAGTTCGGTGAATCTTCCTCAATAGCGAGTGACAGTTCGAATGACAAAAAGGCGAAATTGGATAAAAATAAGCCAGAGGAATCGGCTGTTGCTGTTCGTAAGTAAATAGTATAATATATTATATATAATGGTATAATATATTATATATTATTAAATATAATATAGTATTTATACTATAAATTTTATAGTATAAATTGTATACTTCTGTGGGTAAAAGGCATAAGGGGATAAGTCAAAGCAATCAATTTTTTAGTAGTGCCTTAAACGTGTTCGCATTAATTTAGGAAATACATTTATGGTTAGCGGGTATATCCTTTTGCCAGCACATGTCATATGCTAGCAAAAGGGTATACTCGCTAACCATAAATATATTTCCTGAATTAATACGAACACGTTTAAGTCTCTACCGAAAAATTGCTTTTTTTGACTTATCCCCTTATGCCTTTTACCCACAGACTTAGTATTAATAAAAAAAATTCTGTTTGACAACATTGTTTGTTAATAATACCGTACTTTCACGCTAAAAGTGTACAGACCGAGTGCATCCGAACATTTTTAAAGTAATTAATCATTCTTAAGAGTAATTTAACTTAATGTTAAATTAATAATTACGCAATATATTTAACAAACTTCCACATAACCGAGCTATATGCACCAAAAATAAAAGTACGGTATATAGGTATAATATATTAGAATGTTTAAACAAAAAATCAAACATTTTTTAGAACCGGATTCTACATTAACGAAAATACCGGCTTCGTTTCCAAGTTGGAAGAAAAATAATCCGTGGCTTTGTCTTAATGAAAATTATCGTGCAATCTGCACTATCTGTACCGAAGCTTACAATAAAAATTTAGTGCTACGCCTCGACTCCCATGAACTGAAATCCAAAGTTACCTGGGTGCAGACTGGATTTTTTTATTGGAAACATGCAGCTGATCGAATAAAAAAGCATCAAAAAAGTTCACTGCATCTCAAGTGCACAGAAGCTTTAAAAAATCTCAAAACGGTCAACGTCGTTCAGCATTTGTCCACAGCTACCTTGAAACAGATGATGGATCATCGGACGGCATTAAAAAAGATATTCAGTACGTTGAGGATTTTGGGAAGGCAAGGCTTGGCAATTCGTGGGGCGGCAAACGACGAAGATTCAAATTTTATGACAATCTTAAGAGCGCGAGCCGAAGATGTCTTAGAGCTGGAATCGTGGCTTAGTAGAACAGGTCATAAATGGCTGCACCATGATATTCAAAATGAAATATTGGAAATCATGGCTAATAAAATTATGACCGAAAATATTGAGAAAATTAAAAAATCCGAATTCTACGCTATACTTTTGGATGAAACACCAGACGTGTCAAGAATGGAGCAAATTTCAATTTACTTTAGAGTTGCTTCACCAGATCTTGTATCCTCGGAATATTTTATGGGATTTTATTCAACAACAAGTACTAAAGCCGGGACATTGTTCGACATAGTAAAAGATGTCCTTTTACGCTTTCAACTGCCGTTAGAAAAACTAAGAGGCCAATGCTATGATGGCGCGTCTAATGTGTCTGGGAGACTCTCTGGCTTACAACAGCGGATACAAGAAGAAGAACCTAGGGCCCTTTTTGTACATTGTAACGCCCATAATCTCAATTTAGCAGTCCAAGACAGTATTGAAAAAGTCCTGGAAGCGAGAAAATTTCTCGGAGTAATGAAGGAGATGATAAACTTCGTGCGAGACTCACCAAAACGCATCGCACGATTTCAGGACCTTCAAGCCTATGAGGGAGAAGAAAATGGAGAAGATTTCCCAGCTCTAGCCGCATACTGTCCCACAAGGTATGAATAATTTAAAATCTTTTTCTGCAGACTTCTGAATTATAAAACTCGGTTTTTTATAGATGGGTCGTTCGAATAAAATCTTTGAAGACTGTCGCTGCAAACTACGAGACGTTAATGATATTTTTTGAAGAGCTTGTTCAAAATCGAGATTTCGACAGCACTATCGTTGCCAAGGCGTCAGGTTTCCTTGATCACATGGAGTCATTCAGGTTTTTGTTTCTATTAATAACAATGATCGAAATTTTTGACCGTATCGAAATCCTCAACAAAGATCTCCAGCATTCAGAGCTTTGTGTCATTGATTCATATCAAAAAGTAAAAATGGTTTCGAACATTATGCATGATTCTCGAGATTTAAAATTTGAAAAAATTTGGAAAAATTGTAATGAAATGGCTGAAAAATTTGACATTGAGGGAGCGAAATTGCCAAGAAAACGCAAACTCTCCAGACGATTAGAAATTGGCAATTCCGAAAATCATGTTTTCGAATCTCCTGTAAATTATTTTCGACAAATATATTACGAGGTATTTGATCAAGTAAATTCTTCTTTGCAAACTCGATTTGACACGGATTCAGCTAAATTTTTTAAGTCTTTAGAGAGTTTTGCCATTGGCAAATCAAATGAAGTGAAGGAAATTACAAGTTTTTATCAAGGGGATTTTGAGGAGTCTCGACTTTTAGAAGATAGAGATTTTTTCTTAGGCATTTTAAAGCGTGAAGGGAAAGAGGCAAATGACTTCCGTGGCATCATAAAGTTCCTCAGGGAAAATAAATGTTACATGAACATTGTTCCGGAATTTATGCGATTTCTTCAATTAATAATTACAATTCCAGGATCCTCGTGTTCCAATGAAAGAAGTTTTTCAGTTTTGCGTCGTTTAAAAAATTATTTAAGATCAACAATGGCACAAAATCGACTAAATCACGTAGCAATCTTGCATTCTTACTCTGATTCAGCGGATAAACTCAATTTGGATACTCTAATAAATGAGTTTATTGTTCGCAATAAAAAAAGAACGGCTGTTTTTGCTATTTTAGATAACAAATAAAAATTGTTAATCTACAAAAATGCATTGTTATTTATGAATTTCTATTGTTACCATTTAAAGCTCCTTATTTTTCAATATATTTTTATAATATTGATTTTTCAAAATGTTAATTGCTTGAAATTAAAGCTGAGTGGGGGACCCCCTTTCTCCGCCCAACTACCCACTCGAGCTAAATGTGTTCTGCCGGCCCTGTGTAGGGTATTTTATCGCGGTATTTTTTTGTCGCGGTATCATTTGGAACGGTATTTCCCATCTCTAGAGGCCTCGGAACTGTGGGTTGACCTTGTAGTCATGTGATTACAGTGTTGCCAAGTTTCTAGTGAATATCTCACACCCCCTTTCCAATGATCTGCTCACCTATTTTTTTTTGTTACATTAATTTTCACCATGTGTAAACAGATTTAATATAATAACAATGTTTGATTTCAACTATGAATTATAAAATAATGTTTGTAACTCCTGCAACTGAGATTAACAAGTATACAAAAGGTACAATAAGTATTTATGTAATAATTTGTAATTTCTTTATGAAAATACCAATTCTATTGATATATTTTATTTCTCATGTAGAAATAACATATTTAAATTAACCCTCACTTGTCTCAATCGCATGAATTTAAAATTTACTCATTTGAATGGCACAGCTCAAAATTTATATCACATATTGTTACTTTACCACAGTTGGTTAGGTATCACAATTTAAATCTAATTTAAAAATTTATGTAAATATGACAATACACACAAATCTGTATGGGTGCACGTCATCAACGACATGTGACGTCATCGTTAAGGTATATTCATACGTGCCCAGGCAAAATCCAACGCTTGTTTATTGTTGGCTGCCTATGGGCTTATTAATAAACAGTGTTTATATTAAGATAGACATAACATAATTGTTATAATCTTCTACATTAACTAATTAGGCAAATTTTGATTAAATATGTTGGGAAAAACAAAGAAAGTGTATTACATTTTTATTACATAATAATATTATGTTATACAATATACATCATATACATGTGTACCGTACATGTTATATAATATATTATAAAAACACAAAAAAAACAAATTATTCCCTTAAGCTTGCCAGCAATGTCTGCAGTGTAATGTGCTGCTCTAAAAATGTCTCATAGAAATCAATTTGTATAACACAAGGAGAATAACTCACTGTTAGCATGCATATCATAAATCACATTTCTGATCTCGACAGCTTGGCTATCGCTGATGTTGGTTATCGTTTGGCACCGTTTTGTTTTCATTGGCCCTACCAACGGTTCTCCAGCCGCGACCATGCCCGCTATCTTACTGACTGTTTATAGAAACTTGGAGTGCCCAGGCTGCACGCTTTAAACATTAAGAACAGCGTAAACAATGTCATTAATAACAAAAAATGATAATATATAGCTTACCTCGCGAGCGGCTACAAAATGAAGCACGGGCCCATTTCGGGCCTTTTCTTTGTCACAAAAGGCCACCACGGTCGCGATTAGCAAGTAACATTGTTTACACAAGTGGGGTGCCAAAATGACAAAAAAAACAACGTAAAAGATAAAATAACGCCGATCCATCAATATTATTTAACGGTGCGCACCTGCCTTAATCTATTATCAACTGGCAGAAACAAAAATTACTAAGTAAATGGGTTTAATTTTATAATTTTGTAAACAATACCCAAATGAATAAAAAAAAAATTATAATACTTTAGAATTACTCCTTAAAAAAGCAATTTTAAAGACAGTAACTTTAAAGTTCAAAGTTGGTAATGGTGATGTCATTACACTGCATTGATGACGTGCACACATACAGATTTGTGAGATATATCTTTTACAGGTCATACCGTTTTCTAACATACATATGTATATAGAATGTCCAATTCTCTCAATCTTTGCTCTTACATACTTCCTTTTGTTCACATTTCTATAATCCATTATAACCACACTTTCCCCTTCTTTAAGTTCTCTGAGTCTTCCTCCGTGATACTTTATTTGTCTATTTTGTGCTTTTATGTAGTTTTTAATTGAATTTTTTTCATAAAAGCTTTCTTTTTCTCTGAGAGCATCTAGACGTATCCTAAGTTCTCTACCCATCATTAATTTTGCTGGAGTTTCATTGATTAAGCAGTGCTTGGTGGACCTATAAGCAAGTAACTATTCGTAAACCAAAGTATTTAATAATTTGCCTCGATTCCTGCTGTCTGAACGTCTGGCTGCAAGATTTCTTTTAAAACTCTTTACTAAATTTTCTACGCTTCCATTCCCAGCAGGTCTTCCTCTGTATGATGTTAAATGCATTATCGAGTTTCTTTTAAAGAACTTTTGTTCGCCGTGAAACTAGTGGAATTGTCACTTACCACTACTTTTGGCAGTCCCAATCTGGAAAATACTTCTTTTAAACGTTCTTCTGTTTCTCATAAAGACAAAGTCTTGACTTGGAATATTTCCACCCACTTGCTGAATGAGCAGGTTAAAACCAAAAATTTTGTGTTGATGGTTGGAAAACAGTGGTCTATATGAAGTCGAATTCAAGGTTGTTTTTCTATTTTCCATGGTGTAAGTGTGCTTTTTGGGAGAGCTAACTAAAATAGTGAATGCAACTGCGACAAATTTCTTCAATTTCCTTGTCTATTCCTGGCCAATATAAATATGATCATGCTAAACTTTTGGTTTTTACCTTACCAAACTGATTTTTGTTAAGTTCAGTAAGTAATTTTTTTCCAAGCACTTTTGAAATTATTATTTTGTGCTCCCAATGTAATGTACCCTCTTCTTTACGGTTTTATACGGTTTTTAAGCTTCAGTTAGCTGTTCTGGCCATTTGTCTTTGGTTATGAACTCCATTATCTTCTTTAACTCTTCATCTTTTTTGGTTTCAGCTCTTACCTTATTGGTGTCTACAGGCCATTCATCTAAAATATCCGTTATATTTATATAATTGTCACTCTCTTCCGGAGCAATTTGGTAATTATTGGTAATCTACTAAGTAGGTTGCATGTAATGTTATTTGTTCCTTTTATGTTATATGGTGTTATCAAAACCAGCCAAAAATTCGGCCCACCGCTGCAATTCGGCCCACCGCTGCAATGGACCAGTGTACATCACTGGAAGTCGTTTATCTCGCTCCCCCAGTTCTTGCGTCTGTTTTTATGATGAATTTCTGGATGCCATAGTAGATTGCATAACCTTCTTTATGGGATATAGACTAGGATAATTAACTTTTGGATAAAGTTCTTGAAGTCATTGCTATTGGTCGGTCAATTCCTTTTATTTTATGAGATAATACTGCTGATATTCCATAATTTGAACTATCAGTTGTCAAATACAAGCGTAACTTTGAGTTGTAATGCACCAATACGCTGTCTGACGCTATTATCTGTTTTACCTTTACAAAGTCTTTTTGATGCTCCTCTGTCCACTTGAATTTTGACTTGTTTTTCTGCAGTTGTTGATATATTGGCTTCATCACTGTGGCAGCATTGGGAATAAAAGAATTATAATAGGTGATAAGTCCCAGTACTGCTCTAGCTTGCGTCTCATTCTTTGGCGGAGGTGCATTTATTATAGCTTTCACTTTTCCTTTTGATTTATCGATACCGACCTTGTTAATGCAAAAACCCAAATAATTTACTTCATCCAGAAAGAATTTGCATTTTTCTTTATTTATGGTTAGTCCAGCATTCTGTAGACGTTACAATACTTTGGTTAGTGTTTCCATATGCATTTTGTCATTTGGTCCTTGTTTTGGAACTGGTTGTTTGTACAGTTCCTGATCATGCAGGTTCTGGCCAGAGCTGGCCAAGTACTGAGTACTTTTACTCGTATTTCAATTACGAGTAAAAAAGTACCAGTACTTTTTTACTCATAAGTATTTTTCATTTGAAATACTTATTACTCCTACTTACACACCAAACTCAATGTACTCGTAAAAAATACTCGTGTACTTAAAGTTGGTAATGGTGAC